CCCTAAACATCCACTTTGTTGTTCAAACCAGAAACCTCATACCACCTGCCCTCTTCCATTACATCCAAATCTGAATGACCTTTCTCAGCCATACATTTTGATCTTTGCATCTGCCACTACTTTAGCCTATGGATATCTCTCAGCAAACTATTACCATAAGTTCCCTAATTGTTCTATCAAGGAAAGTTGTAAATAAGACCAGCTTTTTTTTTTTCCCAGTATAAAGTGCAGTGGTATGACCTCGGCCTCCTGGGTCAAAGCAGTTCCCATGCCTCAACCTCCTGAGTAGCTGGGATTATAGGCATGTGCCACCATGCTCAGCTAATTTTTTTCTATTTTTAGTACAGAAGTGGTTTCACCATGTTGGCCAGGCTGGTCACAAACTCCTGGACTCAAGTTACCTACCCACCTCAGCCTCCCAAAGTGCTGGGATGGCAGGAGTGAGCCACTCTGCCCAGCCTTGAACCAGCATTTTGCAAATGTTCTAAAAAGTTTCAGATGATCACACACTTCACTATCTTTATAACTCATCTTCTGTCACTCCACCTTGCTAACTGTGGTGTAACCACTTGAGACTCCTTTCATTTCCTCTAATACATCAGGCTCTTCCCATATCAGCCTTATACATGCTATTTCCATATGTGGAGTGTTTTTCTTTCCCCCATTCATCAAGCTGACTCCTCTGTTTGTCAGTTCTCAGCTTCACCTTCTCACAAACTAGGATATTCCATCACTAAACAATTAACACTCTTTCATTGTACATATCACATTCAATATTATCTTTGTGTATTTTCCTCTTTCCCAGCTGTCTTGCTCATTACTATATTCCCTGGGCCTTGAAAAGTGTCTGGCAAAGTAATAGGGGCTCAATAAGTATCTGTTGAGTGAGTAGTTAATAATTTAACCAACTATTTCATAATTTCATACTGTGTCTGCTGTAGCCTGAATGTGTGCCCAAAAATTACTGTGTTAAAGCTTAATTGACAATGCAATGGTAATGAGAGGTGGGGCCTCTAGCAGGTGACTAAGTCATGAGGGTAGAGCCCTAATGAATGGCATTTGTGACCTTATAAAAGGGGAGGAAAAGCTGTTCACTACTTCCTCGTTTGCCCTTCCATTTATTCTGCTGTGTGAAGATATCTGGATGGTGCCACCAATGAGGAATGGGCCTTCATCAGACACCAAACATGGCTGCACCTTGACCTTGGGCTTCCTCACTTCCAGAACTGTGAAGAACAAATTTCTGTTGTTTATAAATTACTCAGCCTCAAGTATTTTTTAATAGCAATATGAAAGACCAAGACAATGTACTTTTACATGTTTCTTTTCTCGGTGACTGAGTTTCCTCATCTATAAATTCAGCCATAAACAATACCTGCCTTAGAGGGTTGTAGTGAGAATTAAATGAGTTAAGGTACGTAAAGAGTCTAACAATATCTGACCTATAGTAAGTGCAATACGCTTTAGCTAATATTCTACTATGTTTATTTTTTAAAATCACAATGCAAAACAAAGCTGTTATGAGTGTATTTTGCTGGACTTTGTTACTTTTTGGACAGCTAGATGATGCACATTTTCCAATTTTCTATCCACATATGGAAGACTGATTGCATAGTGAAGATTCTTTACAAAATTTTCTCTAAGTCCAGGTATTTTCAATAATTTTTTGTGGTGAAAACATTTAACATGAGATCTATCCTTTCAGCAAATTTTTAAGTGTACAATACAGCATTATCAGCTACAAGTACAATGCTGTAAAGCAGAACTCTAAACTTAACCATCTTGCATAACTGAAACTTTATTTTCATTGTTAAAAGATAAATTTTGGCATATTAAACTTTTAAGTTTTGGCATATTAAACTTTTAAAGAGTTTATTTGATCAGACAGGATCCATAAATTGGGCAGCTCCAAACTAGAAGCAGTTCTGGGGCTCTGTCCAGGGGCAGGAGGAGAATGCTTTTATAGAGTAAAGACGGAAGCAAGCCAAAGAAAATATGCGATTGGTTAAAGTGGAGCGATATCCTTATTTGGACCATTCCAGTAGAAATCCCTAGTTAGAGGTGAGTTGGTGCTTTCTGATTGGTTAAGATAATTTATGCAGAGTTGGGCTTCAGTTTGCTTACATAGGAACCCAGGGCACTGGAGCCATCTCAGTCTAACAGCCTCACAATTAACTATTCTAAATCTTTAATAGCAACTCCTCATCCTCCCCACTCTCATCCCCTGGTAGCTTCCATTCTACTCTCTGTTTCTGTGAGTTTGAATATTTTAGATATCTCATATAAATGAAGTTATGCCACATTCATCCTTTGTGTCTGACTTTTTCAGTACAATGTCCTTGAAGTTCATCCATGTAGACACATATAGCAGAATTGCTTCCTTCCCTTTTTTTTCCTTTTTGTGGAGAAGAGCATCTCACTGTGTTGCTCAAGCAGGTCTCAAACTCCCGGGCTGAAGCAATCTATCCACCTGCCTCTCTGTCTACCACCCTAAGGGCTAGGTTACAAGTGTGAACCACTGCTGTCTGCCAGAATTTCTTTCTTTTTTAAAGGTAAATTGTATTTCTTTGTTTACATACACCATATTTCCTGTATTCAAAATTTTAGGTAAATTTTTGCATTAGAAATGTAAACTCTAAGTGAAGCATACATTAATAATAAGAATTCCTAGACCGGGCGCAGTGGCTCATGCCTATAATCCCAGCAATTTGGGAGGCCGGGGTGGGCAGACCATGAAGTCAAGAGATTGAGTCTATCCTGGCCGACATGGTGAAACCCTGCCTCTACTAAAAATACGAAAATTAACTGTAAATGATGGTGCACGCCTGCAGTCCCAGCAACTTGGGAGGCTGAGGCAGGAGAATTGCTTGAACCCAGGAGGTAGAAGTTGCAATGGGCTGAGATCACCACTGCACTCTTGCCTGATGATACAGCGAGATTCCATCTCAAAAAAAAAAAAAAAGAATTATTTTAAGTATTTCTCCTATTGTTTTTCAAATGCCTCTTATAATTGATAGGTAAACTTTTAAAATTGTTCTACTAAATGTGTTCCTCAATATAGTAAGTCACTGTTGTGTTATCATGAAAAAAAATAACTTAGTAAATTCTGCCTCTGCTACATGTTCTCTTGCCAAAATACTGCTTGTTATTTTTAACACTATGTAAACCTTAAGCAACAATGGATTTTGTCCCATCTGTTTGAGGGAAAAAAAGTCTGTGATGTTGGAATTTGAAAATAAGATAATTATTACCTCTTCTTACCCTCATATGCCAATAACTCACCAAAATCTTATCACTTGTTTTAAAGTCTCTAACCACTTATTAAGGTTGCTAAATCAATGCTTATAATATAGTCTTATTATGACTGCTGCTTATGGAATTAAGGGTATCCAAATACGTCACCCATAATATGTCACTTTGGCATAGGCAATTGAGAATCAACAGATGCACAAACAAGTTTCCCTTATCTGACTAGTTGTAGCATCTTCTGGGAAATAAGGCTACCATAAATTTCCTCTTCAAGATTAATCTAATCTCAGCAGGTAGAAGGTGAATACAATCTACATCAAATCCCTTCTCCAGTGAAGTTTCATGACAAAAGACTATACAAACCTATACAGACAAACACTGTCACATTCTTATTCCATTTCTTCTCCTAAAGAAGGAAGTTATCTATTTGCCTTTCCCATATATGGCTTTTCTCCTCACTTCCTTTTTCCTACTAAGGTAGGTATATGAGTCTCTAACCATTTAAGGAGCTGTGTTTTGTTGCTCCCATAAGCATACAGATAAATTATTTCTCTTGTTAATCTGTCTGTTGTCCATTTAATTCACAGACCCCAGGAAATAAACATGGCAACATAGCAGAGTAGAAGAAAAGTTTTTTTCTTCTCCTACAAGGGTTAAATTGTACATTCCCAAATAATGAAATTAAATAATAGACTAATAATCATGTTGATCTTTAACTTCTTTACATGTGACTGCCTTTTGGAAGAAACTACTTAGAAATCAAATTAATCCATTTGATGCATTAACATAACACTTTGCTGGATAAGACCCAACATTGATTTGAGTGAGATCAAAGTCTGTTCTGTGCAGGTAGTGCTAACACACAATCCTCATGTCATTTTTAAAAATGCAGTGAGGAAGTAGGACAGTCTCCTTATTGGCCATGCTCATGCTTAGGGAGGGAAATGGCCTGGCTAGCAGCCCCTACTGTCCATGCAGCTCATGGCCAGTCATGTTTTTGGAATATTTGGCCACTCTTCTAACACAATGTCAAATGCCCTATGCCCCGATGTCCACTGTCATCTACAAATTTTCTTTTAAATATTAGGGCCCTGCAGACACAACTCCAGAGATCTGATAAATAAAACGTGCCCTTTATATATATTTAATATTCAATTCATATGGGTTTTAAAGTAAGCTGACAATGTGAAGGATTTTGCAAATAGATAACGGAGAACATTTCTCCTTCTAGCTCTAGGTAGCGTTTATTTATTTATTTATTTATTTTGAGATGGAGTCTTGCTCTGTTGCCCAGGCTTGAGTGCTGTGGTGTGATCTCAGCTCACTGCAGCCTCTGCCTCCTGGGTTCCAGTGATTCTCCTGCCTCAGCCTACTGGATAGCTGAGATTACTGGCACATGCCACCACACTTGGCTAATTTTGTATTTTTAGTAGAGGTGGGGTTTCACCATGTTGGCCAGGCTGGTCTCAAACTCCTGACCTAGGTGATCCACCTATCTTGACCTCCCAAAGTACTGGAATTATAGGCTTGAGCCACCACGCCCGGCCAAGGTAGCATTTCTTACTGTTGTACTGTCTGAAAGGGAAAATGTATAGCAATAAACATGTTAGCTTGTTCTTTTTACCTTGGTCTTTTTTACTGTCTGAAATGTAGTGCTTCAAACACTAAATATTTGGGTTTAAAGGTAAGTTGTTTTGTAATGTTAAAGGGACAGAAGCAAAATTAAGTGTGAGAGGCTACTAAACACAGAGCTACAGAAAAGCTACATGAATGTGTTTTACCCCATTAAACCCCAATCATGCAGCAATGTTGGTAATGGCTTGGAACTGCTGTTGGGATATGACTTGAACAGGACTCATTTGATCAGCAAATTATGTTAAAGAATACAAATAAGGCTTTAATAAATGGAATATCCTTAAACCTTTTAACTGTTTGTGAAACTTACGTCTTGAAGCAGTAAAATTGTAACGAAAAATACATGACAATTGTAGTCATTTTTCTGCTTTCAAAGAAATAAAATAGTTGTCTCAGAGCTACCTCACACAACAAAGCTTTCTGTTTATCACCTATCTAGAATCGTTGTGTTTTCAGTTAATAAGAAGCTATTTCTTCAATTGCTATCACTGTATTTATAAAAGAGTTAGAAATGTTTAGAATCATTCCTTAAGGGCCTAACTGCCAGTCCTATTTAGAGGAAGGATATGAAATTGGAGAGTCTTGTTCAGTATTGACCATAAATGCGCTTTGTTCCCATGAATTAAGGTTTCAAGAGTCACCCTTAGTCATCTGATGAGCTTTACATGTACCTTGCTGGACACTGGTGCACACACCAGTCTGGAAGACACTCTCCTTTCTATAAAATCTCATCTTATCTAACTTGGGACACATCTATATAATATACCTATTTGTGCATTTAAATCCACTGGCCTCATAAATCTATTTAAATTGAATAGGATTGAGACCTTTCAAACAAAGTATGCTTGCAGTAAATGCTGTAGAAGTAAAATAAGTGGGTCACACACTCAATTGCCTGTATTCTACAATGTAGCACAGTGAAGGAGAGTATGCCCAGCAGAGCTGAGGTACAGCTCAGCTTACAGTAGGGTTTCTTTAGAGAATGTGTGAGCTGCTTCTTGCTCTGCGCTCTAAATACCATGCTGAAGGTCAGGATTTAATTTGCCAGCCTCCCATTTAAGGGTAATTTGAAGCCTGCTTCTTATAGTCTCCCCTCCTGCCACGTGATGAAATTTAGCCCATAGAACATATTTCCACCAGAAAGAGGCATCTGTAGTTCTGCCATTACACAGGCGTCACCTCAGCATTCCTTTCTACCTACCAAAAACTTTTTGAAAAAGGGATTCATTTAATCTTCTTTTTAATGTGACCCAATATGTTTTCACAAATGGGAGATTTTCTCAAATGTGGCATTCATAACACTCTGTGTGGGTTTATATGGCATGAGTAAATCAAACAGGAACCTCACCATTTTGACAGTCTGATTTAACCGGACTGTTTTAAAGCACTAAAGCAGCCAAGAACAAACACAGACAAGCTGACCAAGGAATTTTTAAGCTGGTCCAATTGAACCACATATTTTTTCACACAGACAACCTCCATCACCTGAAAAACTCTGAATTTAATTATATTCCGTGCTTTTAGGGATTTCATTAGAGATTTTAAAGACGAGTTACTCTGTACCCTACCTATCAAAAGAAATATTTGTGGTTAGCAGAGCTGCGGCTGCATGGTCTAGACCCATCATTGCCACTCTTAATCACTACATCATCATCCAAAAACCCCGAGAGCATGCTTGGACCAGTACTAGACATAATTGTTCGGTTAATTCCATAGGAAGCTTGATTCACTGAATTTAATTGGAGCCAATCTACACCATGGGTTTTCTCTTTAAGCACCAAGAGGCAAATGAAACTATTGTGTTTCCTGTAGAATAATTAGCTTATAATCTGTTCATTTAAGCAGGCATCTGACTTAGACTAGCTTTGACCAGACTTACTCAACCACGATGAATTCAACTTCCATCCCAGTTCTATGATGTGGTGACTTTGTACTTGATACTGCAGTCTTTGTGTTGCAAGGGCTTAGTCCTCTGAAGATGTACTTCAGTCTACCTGAGAATCCCAAAGAGATGACCAAGAAAACATGCTCACTTCAGAACAGTTAGCAATTTTCCAGCTACTTAAGAGGTAAGAGAAATTCTCTCACATCTTTCAGTCAGCTCTTAAGCTTCATGGTTCATGTAAAGGGAAGAATTGGTTACTGAGAAATCTTAGTGAGGGAATGTGTTAACTTCTCTTTCCAGGTCCACAAGGGGGCGTGTTTTCAGAGGCAACACCTGCCCAGCGCCATCCCTCCACCCACCTCTCCATCCGGGAGACCAGAGGTCTTTGTTTAACTTTCACGCTAGACTGCCCAGGTGACCTTCCTTTGTCTAGAAAGCCGCAAAAAGCTATGGGAGGACTGTGGGCCAAACAACAAATAAGATGTCAGAAATCAAAGATCAATCATTCCAGCAAACTTAGAGGAACTCCTTTCATAGACCAGAAAACTTGAATGGGGCAGGAATAACACCCAGGTTAAAAGTCCCTTTCTCCCACATCTGTGCTGACTGCATTTCTGGATCCTCTCTCACGACAGTGTGGGAGCTTGCTCGCTCTCTCTATTTCTTTCTCCTTTTTCTCTCTCTCTGCCTAAACATATCACTTTCTGCAAAACTCTTTGGGGTCTGATATTTACTTAAACTCTCACTGCGCCAGGCAGGATCCTTTCCTCCATTCTTGGGTGAGTGAAGGGCCAAGGGCCTTAAAGAACACATCGCATTGGGGAGCGACCTGAACCCATCACCGGCAATTTGGTCACAAAAGGGCCTCTTTACTGCCAGTGCAACTATGTGGAACTAGGAAATCTATAATCAAAATGAATTATGATACAGAAACACAGATCTTTTGTTCTCTGGACTCCACAAAAATGCTGAACAACAAAAAAGAAACTTTGGACAAAAAAAAAAACAACTAAGTATTGGATAAAAGAGGGAAGAATTTATCTGGCCAAAGGGAAAAAAGGAAACACCCACCCCAGGACTACTTGATACATGAAGAGTTCCTTTTTTGTGATCTCTTAGGTATTAGCCTCAATGAAGCAGGAAGCCAGGGCATGAAGGGTTCTTAAAACATTGTCCACTTCTAAGAATCCAAAATTCTATATTCAAACATGATGATATAATGGACTTGAAAATAGTATAAACAATCTTTTCCATCAATTTAGCAAACAGAGTCATGCGTTGCTTAACAATGGGAATACACTGAGAAATGCATCCTTAAGTGAATTCATTGTACTTACACAAACCTAGATTATGCAACCTACTACACGCATAGGGTATACCGTATTGCCTATTGCTCCTAGGCTATCAACCTGTGCAGAGTGTTACTGTACTGAATAGTTACAGGCAATTGTAACACAATACTAAGTATTTGCATCTCTAACCATATAAAAGGTACAGTAAAAATAAACTATAAAAGACAAAATATGACATGCCTGCATAGGGCACTTACCATGAATGCGGCTAGCAAGATGGAAAGTTGCTGTAGGTGAGTCAGTGAGTGAAGGGTGAATGTGAGGACCTAGGACACTAGACTTTATAAACACTGTACACTTCAGCTATGTTAATTTACTTAAATTTTTTTTCAATAATATATTAACTTTAGCTTACTGTTACTTTTTTACTTCATAAACTTTTAAATTTTATCATTTTTTTACTATTTTATAATCACACAACACATAACACATAGTACAACTGTACAAAAATATTTTTTCTTTATATCCTTATTAATATAGTATAGACATTTGTCCCCTCCAAATCTCATGTTGAAATGTAATCCTCAATATTGGAGGCTGGGTCTGCTGGGAGGTGTTGGAATCAGATTCCTCATGAATGGCTTGGGCCATTCCCTTGGTGATAAGTGAGCTCTCCAAGTTCACATGAGATCTGGTCGTTTAAAAGTGTGCGGTACCTCCCCCATGCCCCACTCTCTCTTTTGCTCCTGCTTTTGCCACGTGACATGACTGTTGCTGCTTCACTTTCCGCCATGACTGTAAGCTTCCTGAGGCCTCACTAGAAGCTGAGTGGATGCCAGTGCCATGTTTCCTGTAAAGTCTGCAGAACCGTGACCCAATTAAACCTCTTTTCTTATAAATTACCCAGTATCAGGCATTTCCTTATAGCAATGCAAGAATGGCCTAATGCGCTTCTTCTATAAGCTTTTTTACTATTAAATTTTTTTTTTAATTTTTTAACTTTTTCATTAAAAATTAAAACACAAACACACACATTAGCTTAGGCCAACACAGGGTCAGGATCATCAATATCACTGTCCTCCACCCCCACGATTTGTCCCACTGTAAGGTCTTCAATGCCAATAACATGCATGGAGCTGTTACCTCCTACGGCAACAATGCCTTCTTCTGGAATTCCTCCTGAAGAACCTGCCTGAGGCTGTTTTACAGTAACTTTCTTTTTTAATAATCAGAAGGAATCCACTCTCAAATAATAAGTATAACATAGTAAATACATAAACCAGGAACAGTCATTTGTTATCATTATCAAGTATGTACTGTACGTATTTGTGTGTGCTATGCTTTTATACGACTGACAGCACAGGTTTATTTGCACCAGCATCACCACAGACACCTGAGTAATGCATTGCAGTATGCCGTTAAGATGGCCACAACATCACTAGGTGATAGAAACTTTTCAGCTCCAATAAAACTACCTTCACATACGTGGTTTGTCATTGACCAAAATGCTGTTATGCAGTGCAAACTGTATTTTTAAGAGGTTATTACATGTTCAGCCCTGTTCATCTTCAACAATACATTTTTTAGTGCTCTGTAAAAATTCTCTTTGTAATTCTATTCCTTGAGGGTCATGATGCCTACATCCTGCCTTGCCTCTATCACTTTGTATATATGAGTATTTATGTCACTTATGTGCTGCAAAATCCCATTTCTCATATTTTCAGCTCAAGACCTAAAACTAAAAAGACCTAAGTTTGACTCCTGTCCCAGATAAGTAATACCTGTGTAAGCTAAGACACATTTTAAATATCTACAAGCTTCAACTTCCCCACCTGCAAATGATAATAATAGCACTTTCCTAATAAGGTTGGTATGAAGACTAAACAAAACAATGCATGTAAAAGAACTTACAATGCAGGAGTCATAGTAAACGTAAAAGAAATCTTACTTTTCTTATATAAATGAAAACACATATATTTTCATAAACTATTAGATTCTGCCCTTATGGATGTTATATCCTCATTGGGAAGGCAGGCAACAGATAATATAATTCCAGGTAGTGGTAAGAGCTGGGCAGGAAAATAAAACAGGAGGAAAATGTCAGACAGTTGTGTGGAAGGTTGTTCTAGACAGGAAAGACCACTCTGCTGGGGCGACACGTGCACAGAGATCTGCCTGGTGTGCAGGCATCAGCCTTGCTTACCTCTGGGGGCAAAGTCCAAAAGGCCCCAAGAAAAGTATTTAGGTCCCAAGGAGGAAATGACCTTGGGGAAAAGGGAAAATATCTATGGAGGAGTTGGAGCAGGGCAGGGTCGCCTAAGAGGAATCAGGCCAACCTTACAGGCCATAGAAAGGACATTGAGGAATTTTGAGCAAGAGCAGAACTTGATCTGTTCTATTTTTAAAGATCATTCCAGTGGCTCCCTTCAATTGCCCCATTACCAATAATAGCTGTACTTTTTGGTGTTCTTTCTATCTTTCTTATACTTTGTGTCCCTTTGCCCAAACACCTATTTTCTTTCTGAAAAGGCTCTTGGCTCTGTCTCAAATATCATCAAGAGAAAAATAAATTTGTATTTCTGAGTGGGAAATAGGCTCAGCTTGAGTGTGTCTTAGGATAAAATGGTATTTTTTGGAATTGAGTATACCACACTGACATTTTAAGATAAACTATCATTTTAATTATGCCAATAAAGCTTTTCAATAAGTTTTCTCCATATAATTATCAATATTTATATTTATCAAATACTCATATGAATATATTCATTTGTAAATTTTGGGGAGCTAATTACCACAATTATACATGTAAAAATTTGTATGTTCTCTAATTGCAATCCTGCAAGTTTATAACTATTTTTAACATTAATGTTTATATAATTTATATTTTAAGATATAATTTTGTATTTTCTGGTTTATTTAGCACTTTATCAAGACTCAAGGAGTCAGTTTAACTGACTATGTGATAGCAAATTTCTTAACCGTTTATGACTTTGGTTTCCTCATCAACAAAATAAAGATACTAGATTGAAAGTGATGAGATTATTTTTCCTCCTATAACTGTTATTGTAAGCATCCAACTGAGCATTTATATATAAAGTTTATGCCATTTATTCATTTACTCAGCTAGTCTTTTCATTTAGTCTGGCTTTCCAATATGCCCCTTAACTTACTGGTATTTTAATTTTTTATATAGGCCCTTCTTTCTTAATTAGTATCTGACTAGCTCCATACAGAGTAAAAAATAAATTTTAGAAATTAGTATTATTTATGTATTGGTTTTTCTTACATTCCCCAAAATTAGCTTTCTTAATTTCCCTGTGTTACAATATGTTGCCTACAGATTATCAGTTGAAACTTAAATCTTGAGTAAGTCTTTGGGAAATAATGTAATGGCATTATATCATTACTGAATAAACCCATTTTGCCTAAAATTGGCTCTAAGCATTATGATTTTGGACTTACACCAAGTGTTAGGCCCTGAAATGGCACTTCCTCCAGAGCTACTCGAATGATATAGATTCTAGACTAAGAAAAGAATGGAAGAGAAGAGAATACTCCAAACACTGCTGTGTTTCTCTGCCCCTATTTTAGGAGCCTATATCTAAAGATTTCTTAATTTCCCTTCTACTTCTATGATAAGCTACCTAAATAAGTTGGAGTTAATCCAAAGAAAAGCAATCATTGGTAGCAGATTTAGAAAAAGGAGAACTTAAAAGGTTAACTGCTCAACAGTAACAAAAAAAAGGAAATGAAGCAATGCTCACTACATGTCTGGAAAATATTAAATGATGCAGAACAATGGGAAATTTAGATAGGGCATAAAAGCATAAATCAGGAGTCAATGAAAGGGACATATAAGCTGGCTAGATTCTGGACCAGCATTTCTCAGCTCTCACATGCTATGTCTCATGGTGTTACTGGGAATGTTCTGGAAACTGTGGAATTTTTCAGTGTGAAGAAATAATTCGTTAGAAATGCAGCTACATAATCTTACAATATGAGCACTTAGAGTAGACTTGATAAAGTGGGATACAGCGAGCTCTAAAGAAAAGATAAGAAGGTATAATATCCCAATAATATTAAAGAAAAATTATGTATTTACAAGGCTAGACGAGAAATTTGCTTTGTGACTGTAAGACAGAGTTTAGAACAGTAAAGAGTTTTTCTCAAAGGCACAGTTCAGAAAAGCAATCAAATAAATAATGTGTTATCTATGGATGCTTTTCTAAAGTCTGTGGGGTCTTATTATATGCAGGAATGTTTTTATTGTAAATGCTTCTGATTTGTTTTGAGACTTTCAACTGTTACAAATTTTCAGCAACAGTTGTCTTCAAAAGGGGTCCCACATAGAAAAAGGTTGTCAACCAATTACATAGAAGAGTGATTTTAATTCAGGGTCAGGGAGATAAGTATCACCACATCCCTAGTTTCTGCTATATAGCCTAAGGGACCAAATCACCATGATTTTTCCCAGAATAATTGATGTGTTGAAGCAAAATAATAATAATTAATTTTTTTTTTTTAGTTTGAGAAAGATGTACTCTAAAAAGTATTTCTAACATTGTAATCCATCTGTATATTACCCCTTTCTCACACTGCTAAAAAGAATACTACCTGAGACCGAGTAATTATAAAGCAAAGAGGTTTAATTGACTCACAGTTCCGTAGACTGAACAAGAAGCATGGCTAGGAGGCCTCGGGAACCTTACAATCATGCAGAAGGGGAAGGGGAAGCAGGAACCTTCTTTACAAGGCAACAGGAAGGAGACTGTGCAAGGACAAGGAAATGCAACGTGATAAAACTATCAGCTTTCATGAGAACTCACTCACTATCAGGAGAACAGCATGGGGGAAACAGCTCCCATGATGAAATCGCCTCCCACCTGGTCCCTCCCCTGACACAAAGGGATTACAATTCAAGATGAGATGGAACGCAAAACCAAACCATATCAATCTGTGATTACCCAACTAGCTTTTTTGTTTTGTTTAAACACATCATAAAATTATTTAAAATGAAATTTAAGAGATCTGTAGACCATATGTCCAGGCAATTAAACTGTTCATAGGAAATAGTAATGAGTTCATAAACTACATGTTTTTTCCTTATTATTCAAAGATAATGTAATTTTGGATTTATGTCACTTTAGGCATTAGCTTTATTGAAATGTAACCTTATTTAAAGAGTCATATTACAATTAGCACAAAAGCTTTAAAGAATA